ATATAAGTTTGTGTCCATCGGTGGGTCCCCCCTCCACCTTCGACAAAAATAAAAAGTGAAAAAAAAACGGAACGAAATGGACCCAGCCCCCTTTGGTTCCAATGCCACTGGAGAGAGAGAGAGAGAGGTGCTGACAATTGTGGGGGCTCTCTGTAATTAATTACACTTTCATTTTGTTTTGTTTTTTCCTTGGGTATAAGTGTCTTTGTTGTAGTTGAAGTCCGAAGTAAAAGGGGGCGCTCACTAGCAACAAATGTCCGGCCTGGCGAGAGGCACTCAAGCTGTGAATGAGCTCCAAGTGTTTCTTCGAGCTATTAGTGAGGCACAGCGGCGCTGGGCGAAACGCATTGCCGCCCAGGAGGCCAAGGTACGCCGTTTTATGATTCTAGAAGACAATTGTCGGAAGAAACTTCGCAAGAGTGTGCTTCGCTCCACCAACGAGCAGCTGAAATACCTGGTAAGCACAGATCCGCTGGGCAGCATGGAGGTGAAGCTGCCTCCCCGCAGCGCATTCGGTGCCTTTCACATTCCTATGGAGCAGGTGAACGGGTTTTCCGTCTTTGCCATGGCGCGGCTCCATGCTTCACCAGCGTCGTTGTCAGGTGCCTCACAGATGGCCGTCATCGCTGACCTCCTCGCCGCGTGGGAGATGCTGCCTCCCTCCAAGAAGGAACAATTTGAGGCGTATGTGGAGAGCTTGAAGTGCGGGAACACCATTGAACATAGCACCAGCAGCGGTGATTGCCTGCAGACATCCGAAGCGTCCCGCAAGAAGGATGATATTGTGGGGGACGGTGAGGGCGGCACCAAGGATGCTATTGCGTGGGAAGCCCACGCGTACAGCAACTTCATCTGCAAGGGCAAACGACAATTGGAGGCATCAATTGGCACCGTTGACGAGCATGATTGGCTGGCGATTGCGCCGAAGGAGTGGGCCAGTCTTACCCTGCGGCAGAAAAGGTGCTACCTGCCGGAATAAAAAATTAAAGAGACAAGGATATACTTGGGACGCAAGTCAAAAGGAATTGCGTTGGTTTTCTTTTACGCGAAGCGTGCCGCCACAAGCGTAGCCGGAAGACCCGCGCTCGCAACAAGGAGACCGAGCCAATATGGCAGCAAGCAGACCGCAGAATGCATCGGCATTAACGGGCGAAAAAATGGCCAAGATGAGTGGGAAGGTGTTGACGAATGAAGACCGTAGCAAAGGGAAAAAGCTGTTTGTCATGCCGTGTTACTCTTATTTGGGAGAGGTGTTACGGGGACATGCAAGTCCCCATCACGGAATATGAGGCCTTTTTCCTTTTTTTTTTATTCGGCTCACTCCATATTCTCTCGCACTTGGTCTTTGGAAAGGACCCACGACGACATCACCCCGACGTCCCTCGAGGTGCTCAAAAGGGCCGCACCATTGCTATCGATATTTCTTTTTCTTGAAAACTGCAATCTGGTATCGTTGCCCCTCTCTTTGCCTCATGGGGAACGGGGGCAGCAGCAAACATAGGATCTCCTATCCGCTACGGCCTTGCAGCCCCGCCCTTGCTGCAGCGAGGGGCTAAGGCGTTCCAGTCGAACCCGTTACCCGCGTGGGCGCGCGCGCTGCCCCGGAACGTGCTTTTCGTGCCCTCTTTCCCGCGTCACCCCTCATAATGAGGACGGTGCTGATTATACTCATGACGGCAAAACAACTTGCGCGCTTGTTTTCTTGACTATGCCACCGAAACCCGCCAAGCCGCTGTGGATCCCAGTGCCACCGACGCCACAGATCTTTTTTCTTTGAGAATGCCGGCAATGGAGCAGCAAAGAGTGGCTAACGAAAAAAGATCGTAACGGTAAAATTTTTTTTGTTGAGGGGGGAAGAGATCTTGCGAAGGAAATGACTCAGCCTTCCTATATTTTTATGTAGTGAAAACAATTGTCCTTTGTTTCGTTCTTATTTCTATGCAGAGGCTGACGCAAAGCATAATCTTTGGAACTAGGTTTACAAGAAGTTTTTTTTTCTTTTGAAGGATGTGGTCGACGTCACGATTATGTTTTTCATAGCTCGAGGGAGAAACTAGCAGAAGGACACTCACAGCTTTTTTTTGTTAGAGAAAGCTAAAAAACAACGAACCCGGCATGACGGTTTATTACGCTTTATGGCCTTGTACTATCGCAGCCGCCCGACTTCCCCGGCACTTTGTATCGTAAAGGGGTTTTCTCTCGTGACCTTCTGTTTAACGCCTGGAGGTGTTGGCTGGACCTGCGAAGGCGAGACGGGGAACTCACCCACCTTGTTGCAGAAGGTCTGGTTAGCTGTTTTTTGTCCCACTTATGCTGCCTATCCGACGAAAGGGCGAAGAAAATGGAAGAGTTCTCGATCTCACGACTGCACCCTGGGGAGGGGGAGTTGCGGCAATAGAATTTTTTTTTCGGATGGTGGTGCTCTTTGGGCGAGCCCCTCAGTATACTCCACTGGCGTCTGTGTAAATGCATTTCAACCGCTGATACCGCGCAGGGAACACATGGCTCTAGGCACCTTCCCTCGATGCACAGGGAAACCACCAGCAGCTTCTTCTATGAATAAAAAAAGCACCCAAGGTCTGTTCCTGGGCTCCGGACTCCCTGTTTCCAATAAATGCCCCACGCTTGGCCGTGAAAAGGCAGGCCTTGCCTCCCCATGCGAGAGCATCCTGTTGCCTGCCTGGAAGACGAATGATGTCTGCCCATATGTTCACTCAGATATTTGAAGGCGCTGCCCATCTCGGACGCACCGCCGTCGGTACTCCTGTTATTGCGGAAGATAAATCCGTAAAATTTCCGGAGTCGTCTTATACCCCATGGGTAATAGGGCCACTTTCACGGCAGGTGCCATATGCCACCCGACACCGAAACAAATGCAGCGCTTCAGCCGGCAAAGCAATCTGAAAAAAAATGATGCCCGGAGACGCGGCATAACGCCGCGACCGCTTCTTAGGAGTCCTTTGCCTATTTCCCCCATCGACACAGAATCCATTGACACTGCCGCCCTGCCGGTTTTTCTTCCATAATCGAAAAGGGAATGACCCACTGCCCCGCTCACCTTTAGGAAAAACACCTCGTATGTTTCCAATCTCCCGGAGAAAAAAGCCCCCAGCCTTACTTTTCCCCAACTTGGGCAAATAGACT